TAATCATCATAGCCGACGCCAATCCGCCAAAACACGTTTGATGGGACGAGATAACACCTGAACTGGATTAGACCAGATAACAATCGGTGTGTTAACGTTCATATTTTCCACGCCCGAATGGATTGAAATTGAACTCTCCTTGAATTACGCGCGGAACTGCGTGCAAGCGTCGGCCATGATGAATATCGCCGACGATGGAGCGACTCCTCTAACAAAATGTTCACCTACGCCGTAGTATCGTTTTGAAGTTATGAGTGCATTTCAGACTTTGCCGATGCGCTCATCGTGATTTTTGAGGCATTATCTACAAGAAACAACTCTTATTTTTGTTCTAGCAAAAGTTTGCAACAGGCCCATTCAACTAACAGAGAAGAAAATTCAAGAAAATTGTTAAGAGATTGTGCGTACTCGCTTTTCAAAGATAAAACAATAACAGATAATACCAAACTCTGTTACGTCGCAAAAAGAAATACCTGGTTTTGCATTTTAGCCATTTATATGCGGCCAGGCATCAGCATCTACGACCATTTTCATTTTCCGCGCAACAAGTGAAAAATGTGATTGCAAAATAAGGGTGAGGAATTCGGGAGGGACATGAAAGAGACAAAGACGCGGTAACAATTATTATAGCTGTGCATATTTCATTTTCAATTCTTCACGAATATGTGAAAGATTCAGTAGGAGACAAGCGTCAAATTCACACGCGACAAGCGATGAGCCATAACTCAATTGAACCGCTGTAAAAATGACCAAAAAAAAAAAAAAAACCGGAGAGTGCTCACGCGTTGCTCTGTTTTTGAGAGCAAAAAGGCGGGGGAGGGGGGGCTGAACATTTCATTTCTCTGCGTTTCAATTCCGGATCGTCAGGCGGTAATTGCACGCGACCGCAACAGATGCCACAAAATAAACACAGTGAGGCCGCGGTGATGTCTGCGCATTGGACGACTCACTAAGAATGTGCTCGTCCAAAAAAAAAAAAAAAAAAAAAAAAAAAAAAAAAAAAAAATTCCGGGTGACGAAGTGTGACAGGGTTATTCATGCTCATGTTTGGCGTGTCAGGGCTTTTTTTTTCTTTTTCCTTTTAGTGTTTTTGTAAATTTTGGTTTGCTGTTGTCAATGCATACGACATTCGAGAGGCTTGTAAACTAAAACGCCGAGTGCAGTTTTTAAAAAACAATTGAGATTGTAAAGATTTTAACTAAAGCTAGTATCGAAATATATTTTGTGAAAAATTCACACCTATAATCCAATTTTTAAGCATCAAAAATTTGAAATTTGTGTCCACCACAAAACTTCATAAGCAGTTTTGAAACTTTAACCACGTATTTGTCGAAATTGCAAAAATTGAACATATGACCATATCCCTCCAAACACCGCTCATTTATGAACTGAGTGATGAAAGACCACACGATCTGAGAAATCAGTAACGCATACACACTTAAAAGTATGTAAACATTTCGATGGCCAAAGTACAAAACCACGTAACTTTTGCGATACATTGATTGATCTACCATTTTAACCCATAGAAAAGGATGTTCGCCAGGGTGTTCGCAACGAACACCTTGATAATCGATTCTATCCCACAGCTTTGAATGGGGAAATATCGATGATCAATCCATCACGCCTCGCAACTATTCATCATAGCAATTGAAAAGTGGCCCATGACGGAGGAAGGGTCAAGAAATGCTCGAAAAGCTCGATTGAATTATCACAATACTCGAAGATGGATGTTGATCAATTTTTAAAAACAAGTTTTTAAACTTATTTTAATCCATCTTTGATGTTGATCAACTTAAAAGTAAATATTGAATTTTTTTTGGTTCAGCTCTAAAATTGAACCTCATGTTGTCCTCAACAGTTCACTCGTCACCTCGTGAGAGAGCACACTCAATGAACGCTGTTTTACTGCACCGATAGCTAAGAATTAGATCAACAAGTTCGAAATCGATGCGCCGGCAGAGCGTGTAACGTCACCTCACCAATAGTCAATTTCTCGTCCTCCTTTCAAGGGACAGAATGAGGTGCCCATTTTGTTTTGATTGGCAGTGCAGATAAAAGCGCCGTTTAATTATGAGGAGCAGTAGGAGCCGTGCATGGCTTTAAAAGCAGGTCTGGCCCGGTTCTTGATAGTCATTTTGAATGACAGAGGAAAGTAATAAAACGCGAAATTTCGAGTGTTTTGAGGAAACGACGATACCATTACCACCTCGGAACCGGGCACATTGCCTTAAGCTTGCTCTTCGTTAAAATTGTTTGGATCTTGTCAATATCAAAGCCCTGATGTCACATCTTTCGGTCTGAATTAACCAACATGAAAGCCTAAAACTTGCCTTGCAATTTACCGCCTGAGGCATTTACCTCGATTGCCTCCTCATATCCCTATATATGTGTCACATGACACATACAGATAAACCGCTTTCACGGCGCTCTCTGCGGCCCGATTATTGAAATCGATAGACAAAGCTTACAGACAGAGGAGACATAGGGAGTATGGAGCGATCCTATTGGTTGAAATGGACATAGACGAAGGGGTAAAGGGGGACATAGACTTAGTTCATAGACTAAGGGGGTAAATGATGGACTAACTAAAGGGTCTCTCGTGGTTAAGTCAGTCTATTTCTGTCCTCCTTTGTGAAATTGAGAGAGAAGGAGGTGTTGTTGCGGTTGCTCATTTTCTAAATGAAATGTTATTACTTCCTCCTTTTGAATCATCTTTTTACATTGTCATTGGTGAATATTTGGTTTTATTTCTATCCTTCAAATATTTGATGTACAATGTACCTTATATATGTATGTACAGGTACTTTTTTTTATTTTTTTAATTTTTTCTTTCCGAAATTATTACTTCATTTTGAAAAAATGTATATTTTCAAAACGTGACTAATATTTGTAAAACCTTTTCCAAGCGACATTAATCTCAATTAGCCGTAGTTGTGCCGACAGAAACTGCAAAAATGAATAAAAGAGGGAAAAAAACTAAGAAGCACGCAATCTTTAGTTTTAACCCATTTGTACATCGATCCTTTAGAGTCAAATACGTCAAATTTTGAGTGTTTGGTTGCGCGTACACCTCGCTGCAGAACATTAAATAAGCACAAAATGTAAAAGAAAAAATTAAAGTGCTTTGGAAATCATTAAATTTGACACAAAACCACCAATATTTAAAAAACACACATTATATTATTATTCTCCTTTGATAAATTGATACGTATATTTTTCCCCATCAATTTAAAAGAGAATAATCAATGCAGGGTGTGCAAACATTTCAAAATCCTGAGTTAAAAAACGCTGACTATGGGAGTATAAGTATTAAAGCCTAAGAGAGCGGAGCGGCGTGCTCCCAGCGCGAGAGGCTCACTGGCGCCTACAAACCTAAGTGGATACTTCACGTATTGCACAATGCTTGAAGTATCCACTTAGGTTTGTAGGCGCCAATGCGCCTTTCGTGCTGGCCGCCCGGGCGCCCGCCCGCCGTGCGGCGGCGCTTGGAGCAACTATTTCACAACAGAGGTGTTCCACAGTATTATACAAGATTGAACGTATTAAGAATGACAGGCATCCTTTAAAATTACAGATCTTTCCTCGCAAAATAAATCAAGATACTTATTGTACACTGGAAAAATCTAAGAGCCTTTAGCTGAGGCAAATGTAGAGGTTTATCCGGTTCAGGTATATCAAGGTGGGAAAATCTTGAAAGATAATTAAGTCCTGTCACACCAAAGAGGTGTAGAGAGTTTTAGTGAATTTTCTCTCATGGAATTGACGCTCCCCTATTTTTACCAAAACTCTCAACTATATATTATTCTCCGTTGGACCAAACAGACAAAACAAAAAACAAGCAAACTCTGATGCTTCCAAGACATTTTACATTTTCAACCAAAAACGTCGCGAGCAATTGTCGTTTGTATTTACATGTGGGCCAATTAACTTTGGGCCTCCACTGGCACGTGGACCAAAACTCCCGTGCCGAAAAAACGCGTGGACGTAAATTACTGGAAAAAACAGGTGCGCGGATAAAAAACTTTTGTGTGTTTTACTGTGTATTTTTGTGATTAAGTGCTATAAGGATGGACTTGATGTCCAAAATGTACATCCACCACAACAACTTGTAATAAACAACAGTGTGTAAAGACAAGACTCTCTTTTTCAATTTAATTAACTACATTAAATGAAGTCCAATTGATGAATTTAATAATTTCACGGTCTGATAATTGAAAATTATAGACAAAAGCGATAGATGTATAAGACGAAGAGAAAATGGGAGCGATCCCATTGATGGAAGCGGGTGGTTGCAACGGACAGAGAGGGTAACAGACTAACCAACGGCAACCCACGAGAGACCCTAGACCCCCATAGTATAGTAACCCCATAATTTTCCTTCTCTGTCCGTAACAAGCACCCCTTTCAGCCAATATTGATAATTGTTGAAAACATTGCAATGCTGCTAAGATTGTGCAACTTCTTTTGTCTTGGAGGAAAACCCCGATTATCCATTAATAGTTGTTATTTTACTCGCTAAAAACTGTAAATTTAAGACAAAAATTACCATCTAAATTTCATAGTTTTTCACGATTTCCGCAATTTTATTGCAAAAGATTAAGTTCCACAATCTTAGCATCATTGCAATGATAGTGGTTCCTTTTTGCAAAATGCAATCCACTTTGTCTGTTGCTTTGTCAACTGCTTTGCCAATTACTTTGTCTAATGCTGTGTCTATCGCTTTGTCTATCACTTTGCCTACTGCTTTGTCTATCACTTTGTCTATGGATTTCAATAATCAGCCGGCAGAACAGCTGATTGATCATGACGTCGAATACGATGTGCCGCATGATACTCCGGGAGTTGTCCGTTGTTTTTTTCGAAATCCGAGACGCTTTTGAGCCTTTGCCAGGAACTAGCGGCTCTCGCGGGCGGGAGTCAAAGGCAGCAAAGGGTCGGAGACATCCGGACCGCCGCGCGACTCGGCGGCGTTTGGCGCGGTCCGGGGTTCTCGAGCCCAGCACTCCGGCAGACGAAGACGACCCACTTCCAAACGGTATCCTCCGACGTCGCGCGGCGTGGCGGCTGGTCTCGGTCAGTTGTGTTCAAAGTGCGCTCGCGGTTGTGCTTGCAGTCTCCGGCCGGCGCCCGCTCCGCCATGGAGCAGCCTTCCAAGTAAGTCCTTCCGGTTTCACTCGGGCCTACTTTTGTTTACTTTTTCGATCCCTTTCTCTCTCGCTGGGGCGCTGCCCCGCCGCGCTGCGCCGCGCGCCGTCTCGCGAGCATCCGTCAGTGGGCCACTTCCCCCTCCCCCCTCCCCCCTGGGCCGCGTAGAGCCCCGTCCCTGTCGCCCCCTCCCCACGATCCCACCGGCGACCTTCGGATGAAAGCGTGTTTGATCCCTGACTTCTCCTGCAGCTGGGAACTTAGCACTCTGGCGTATTCGGACTGAATGCCTTGGGTCATAATTCTCATAAGTCGTCGAACTTTACATGAAGTTTATGCGATACCTGTCAAATTTTGTATCTTCATCCATCCGCTATAGAATTTTCCCTCCAGCGGGCTGATCATTCAAATTGATAGACAAAGCGATAGACAGAAAAGACACAGGGAGTATGTAGGTATCCGATTGACTGAGATGAGTGGTTCTTATAGACTAAAGGAGGAAATGGTGGACTAACTAAAGGGTCTCTTTGGTCCATTGCAATCACCCGATTCCACCAATAGGATCCCTCCATATACCTTTTGTTTTCTTTGTCTATCAATTTCAATAATCGGCCCGCATTTTTTTCTTATTCCTTACTCTTAGAGTGGCTCTCTATAAGACGCATTATGTAATTAAATTTCAGCAAAAAAAAAAACGAATTTAGGAACTTTGATCAATTCCTAAAATATCGGACAAAATCACACAAAAATGTGGATGAAAATATTGTGAAGTTATACATTTTAGGTTTAAGACTGCGAAACTATATTTTGTTCTAAGTTCATGCGTTTAATGTAAGCCAAATAAGCCCGAATCTAATTGCAAAAATTTCGATGCATTTTTCACAATACGACAGATTTCCGGCGCAGAGATTGTGACAGCCAATAGATGCGGAGATCAGCAGGAAAGGATCAGTTATTAAATGATCAATCAAAACATCTTGAATTTTGATATTCCAAAATTTTCAGGAAAAAAATATATATACTTTCAAATTTAATCGATGTTCCGGCAATAACGGTATGTTCTCCCCTCTCCCATGTATTATGATTTCCCTCCCCCTCCATCTCCTCTTTTCTCCTCCTCCTCCCTCTCCTCCCCCTCCTTCCTGTTCCAGGACCTGTCCTGACGGTGTCTTTCATTCATTCAGTTAAGCCGGTCCTGTAAAATATAGTGGCAACTTGTGTATGTGTCGTTGTGTATCTTATCGTGAAACTTACCGTGAAACTTTCTATTTCGGAAAAAAACCTAACCTCTTCTTAAAAAGTTCGACAAAATAAAGTGAAGGAATAAATCATATTGTGCTTTTGTATATTGTATGAGGATGACAGAACTTAAAGTGAATTTTTTCGATTGTTATAACTATATGTGCGCCGAAAGTGACTGATTAGCAGGTACGAAGTTTTATTATCAAGTATGGTATATTGTAAAATGACTATAAAATTTTCAACAAAGTTTGATTCAGACTGTTTGAGAAAAATTATTGCGGGTGAATTAGGTGCAAACTATCTAAAATATAGACGAGGTGCCATAAGCAGGTTTTGACACACTTATTTTACGTTCAAAATTTTTAGAAAATTAAACCGAAGTGTTAATTTTTGTGTTAAATTCTCATAAACTCGATCCATTTCTTCAAAATTTGATGAAATTTTGTTCTAGCCTCATTATCTTAGAAATCCCCTTGCTAAAAAGACCGCGTTGGAGAGTTAAACATGCTGTCACGCTGACCCCATAACACTGTGCAGCAATAAGTGTTGTTTAAAATTTAGTGCCATACTGAGATCAGTATGTTATCGTAATAAGATTGACCACCACGGTAACATACAACTGACACCTGGATTTATAGTGGACCTTTTATAATAAGAAAATACAAAAATCAGGCAAACAAATGCGTCAATCATACAACTTGACACTACCTTCAGTTTAATTGAACCACAGCTAAATTCATTTCAGTGATCTATATTAGCTCACTAATTGAAAAGAATTCCTTGTCAATCAAAAAGTTCTTAAATCTCCTAGAAAGACCTGAAAGAAAGTTCCTTTCTCCTAGAAAGTTCTTTGTTACCTGTTGCATCTTTGACGGGAAGGGCATCAAAACATTTGTGGCTTTGCCCCGTATATTCTGTTACCCTCGGTGTCATTAGCGAGGCGTGAATGATCGAATATCGATATTTCCCCATTTGAAGCTGTGGTAAATAATCGATTATTAAGGTGTTCGTTACGAACACCCTGCTCATGGATCTGTTTCCATAGGTTTACATGGCAGATCAATCGATTTATGGCAAAACACGCCACGCAACTGCTTGATATGTATAAAATGAATGTTTATTCCCGGTATTTATCTTGTGCCTACATCAGACACTTTTGGGATGTTATTGGCATTTTGATTTATGAGGGGCTTGGAGGACAAGGCGCTTAAAAGCAGATTTGAAAACAAATTGAGATATTACTGATTTCAAGTAAAACTAGTCCCTATGAAAAATTCGCTCCCTAATTTCAATTGTGAAGCATCAAAAAGTCGGTTGTAACTTTCTTCCTCAACTTCAAACACGTATTTCTCGAAATTGTAAAAATAGCATTTATGCACCTTGTCCTCCAAGCCTCTCATACATACACTGCTATTTTCGAAAAAGTCTTTAATTTTCGACCAAGTTGATAACATATTGACCATGACCAGTATGATGAAAATATGATCACGACTTGTTCTATGATCGTTTACTGCAGGCTTAAAATTTGAAGATGCATAATTCCTTTTCTTCTTCGGATTGTCATTTAGCCTTTGCCCTCCTTATTCGCTCCACTTTTGAAGTTTAACTTTTAAAAAGTTCTCTACAAGGACATGACACGAACTGTCGCCAATAACGCTCCCATACGACGAGTGTTCACGGTACGGCTACTCTGCCGTGCTAAGGAAAAACGCCGTATGAACATTCAAGAGTTGCCAAATATCTTTCAATAAAATGGGTTTTTTGGAGGAAAATTATGATTATTTTTTCTTGAAATTTTCAGACTTTTTAGATCAAATTACAAACAAAATTATCTGAGAAATTGTTCGACGAACATCCGAAAATTTTCCTGAAAATTAGTGATTTGCCGGGGGAAATTTGGCAACGCATGAAGGCTCATACAGCGTTCTTCTTTAGCACGGCAGAACTGCAAGTTGCACTTCCACGCGCCTGCTGAAGGAACGACCATCAGCCCGGAACCAATTTGCACGCGAATCGTATATTAGGGCCGTTTGAGGAAACCGGTCGGTCCGATAAAAAAAAAATCGCGCAGAGTTGCGATGAAAAAAAAGAAGTCACTCATCCTCCTCGGGTTTTCTTTCCTTTTTTGCATGAGTAATTAACAAGAACATGTGATGGAAACAGGACGCATGCGTATTCCGGGATGAATTGAATGTAATTGCTGCGTTAATTGTGGGGCGCGCGCCGAGCGGGCGGTGGCCGGAGACTTAAACGCTGCGCGTGCTGCGGTGCGATGCCGGGTCCGCACTTTTTCGCACGTGTACAGGGTGTTCCGAAATCCCGGATAATACACCGTCGCACAATTCAAAGAGTATTTAAAACACGATGGACATCTAGCAATGGACCCTTGTACAAGGTACGAATTCAAGCATTCTGTTACATGTTTCTTAACTAGAGTTTCACGTAAAACACTATTCTTGCATCGGAAATTACTGAAATCAACTCCTAACTAAGATATTAACGTTTTTATTCTACATTGATTACGGGAATTTTTAATTGCCCGGTCACAAAAAACGCAATTCTCTACTTGAGTCAAATGGCGCCTCACGACAGTTTTGGCAGGTTTCTCAATCGAGCATTGTTCCTTTCGCACCCTTTATCGTTCAAAGAGCAAACATTTTGCTATATCTGAGCCAAAGCGTCAAAGTTGAGGTTGCCAGATTTTCATATCGCAGAGATTGTCATGGTAAGTCACGTAGACTATTGTGTTTTCACGAGTGAAAGCTTTGAATTCACGTGTCAAAAACATTTTATCTCTTAGTAAGGAGTTGGTTCCAGTAATTTCCGTTGCGCAAATCGTGTTCTACGTGAAATTTTGGTTGGGAAAAATGTATCGGAGTGCTTAACTTCTCACCTCGTATAATGATTGATTCAATTCCAATTTGATGCGGAACTTACAAAAATCAGCCGATCGTATTACATGTCGCCTAATTTCTCAAATGTAGTTCTCAAATATAATAGTTTCCCAACTCTTTATTCTTCATACTGTTTAACGGTTACCTACTTCAAAATAATAAAAATAAATTAAATGCAACTGACGAGTCATACGCTCAGTGACATTGCGCGGTTGATTTTTCGGTAGCATGCTCGACGTAGTAAAAAGACCCTTGACTTCGCAAACACACCGTGTATCGACTGAAAGCGAAAATATGCCTCGTCACTATCTATTAGTGACCGCGTCCGCGGCCTTCTCCAAAGCTCACTCACTCGACCGTCCCGCGACCCGCCGGCCCAAAGGTGAGCGGCTTCATCAAAAAGTGATACCGTGTAATAGTTATAGGTCATTAATTGTTCGTGAGATCACTTCGGGATTCCTTTATTGTTGTTCGTGGCTGTCTGTCATTGTTGTTGACTTGCATCAATCAACGGAGGAGCGAAGTTCGGTCGACGGGGCGTCGGAGCGCCTCGCTGAGAAGAGAGTGAGATTTTTTTCGCCTCTCCTTTTTTTTTCGCCGCCTAGGAATTTACTCATTCTCAAGCTCGTGCGCAGAACCAGTGGCCTGCGAAATTTTCGCGAGTCGCGCCCTGGATCATTAATCATCATTACCAAGTGCAACTTGTTGCAAAAGTAACACAACCGCTATCTTTACCGAAGTTATTTATGGTCTTGGATTCTTGTCATATCTATAATAGAAGCTCCGAGACCTTCTAAATTTGCATATCTGGTAACGCTTAGTTCCAGCGCTCTACTGGGCCGATTTTCATGATTTTTGCAGCTATCAACGGGC